AGATGACGTACAGACGCCAAGGTCGCTACATCTCAAATGCTGTAACGATTGTAATAAAATCATTGTAATGTTGAGAATCGGTGGTTGAGTTAAAGGTGTTCTCTGAATGTGTATGGGGAGCGGTAGTGTAGTGGTTAGCGCACTACGCTAAGAACCCGACGATCCGAGTTCCATTCCCGCTCACGGATATGTGAACCGCTCCTGGGCCTTCCCTAGCTCAGCCTGAAACGAGTATCTCGTGTCGTGCGTAAAACATCAACACTTTTGGGGGGGGGAGGAGAGGGGGAGACAAAGGCGGACAGGCGTGGTGATAACCACACCATCCTCTCGTTTGCCGTTACGGCCTTGATAGGCGCTACTCGCTAACAGCACCTTGCCCCAACGGCCAGTTAAGGCTACACGGGGGATCTTTGTTACGTACAGAACGACCTCGGTGTTTGTGACGATAAGATCGGACGATATTCTGTGTCTCTTCGACCCGGGCACTTACAGAGCCTTAAAAGCTGCCCGTTACAGGCCACCGCAGTCGATACAAAGACAAAGAACGCCCGCCGTCCGACTTACACGGGATGTTGGGGCAAGGTGTTGTGAGCGAGTGGCAATGCACACGCAACGGGCCAGTACTAGCGCCCGGGCCGCCTTTGTCTCCCCAATGCTGATATTTGCACACAGCACCAGGTACTCATTTGAGGCTGAGTCCACATAGGGAAGGCCCCAGGGAACAGGTTCAGACATTCGCCACTCGTTGTTGGCCGTGAGCGGGAATCGAACTCGTGTCGGCAGGTTCGTAGCGCAGTGCGCTCACCGCTACGCTGCCGTTCCCCACTACGTACACACAAAGACAAAGGTACCCCGTATAGGCATATGCACCGTCGGGACAAGTGCTGTTAGCCAACACCTGTATTGGTTTAAATCCCGCGCGAGGTGGTGGAAGTGGTGTAGCCAGAACCACACCCGGCCGCCTTTGTCTCTCCTGTGCCCGGTTTCCATACCGCACGAGGTACACATTTTTTTAAGGCTGAGTCTACCTAGGTGAGGCTAACGACTGGTTAAGATATTGATTGCCGATGATATTATCCGTAGCCAGGAATCGAACTTTGAGGGTCTTGTTCGTAGCGCAGTGTGCTAACCATTGCGCCACCACTCCCACCAGTCTATCCACACATAATGCGATTACGAGAAACATATCCGTATGTACATATATCACATATGTACACACACGAATACATATAAACACAAGCTAAATATTATCGGTGCATTACTAATCAAATCCAAATACTCCCCGTATAGCCTGAACAGACTGTTGGGGCAAGTGCTGTTAGCGAGCACCTATGAAGACCGGCACGGCACACGAGGGGGTGGGTGGCCAACACCACGCTACCGGCCGCCTTTGTCTCACCAGTGCTGATGTTTCTACACCGCATCGGGTGCTCCTTTTTTAAAATGCGCGTTGAACTTTTTTCGCACCGTACGTAGCCGACCGTGCTCATCGGAGAAAGGTCAGGGCCAGTTCAAATATTCGTCGCTGATATTTGGTCGCGAGCGAGGGAATCGAATTCGGGTCACCATCCGAAAGGAAGTCCAGCGCGCTAACCAAGACAATACCGCCCCAACAAATATACACACACACTTTCTTATACACACATGCATATTTAGAGACACGCGCATAATACGTACATCTAAACATATAGATACACATACATACACATATATTCACGTAGCGCAAATAAATACACACATACACAAAAAACCAGTGCAAACATATATACACAGACACTTACACGCGTATATATGCACACAAATACAAGCATACATGCATGCAAAGACAAAGACCGCCCGTACAGCCTATTCAGGCTGGTGGGGCAAGTGCTTTTAGCGAGCACCTACGAAGACCCGAATGGCAAACGAGGGGGTGGGTGGCCAACACGACGCCCGACCGCCTTTGTCTCCCCAGTGGCGATGTTTACACAGCGCACCAGGTACTCATTGCAGGCACGAGTCGAGCTAGGAGAGACTCGGGAATGGTTCAGATGATAGTCGCTGGTGGCCGTGAGCGGGAATCGATACACATACATACACAGCGGCACGTACATGCACAGAGACACACGCGCGCGCTTGTGTTGGCAAGCCGACCTCGTCTGTGACTGAGAGACAGAGAGGCAGACAGACTTACAGTCAGGCAGTCATGTAGGCTGACAGCCATACAGGCAGATAAGTCATACGTGCAGGCATATACACAGCAATAGAGACGGACGGTCAGCTATAGAGACAGTCGTACAGACAGACAGCAGTGCAGACAGAAGGTCAGCCGTACAGACAGTCGTTACAGACAGACTGCAGTACAGACAGACGGTCAGCCATACAGACAGTCGTACAGCCAGACGGTCGGCCATACAAACAGTCGTACAGACAGACAGCAATAGAGACAGACGGTCAGCCATACAGACAGTCGTACAGACAGACAGACAGCAGTACAGACAGATGGTCAGCCATACAGACAGTCGTACAGACAGACAGTCAGCCATACAGACAGTCGTACAGACAGACAGCAGTACAGACACACGGTCAGCCATACAGACCGTCGTACAGACACACAGCAATAGAGACAGACGGTCAGCCACACAGACAGTCGTTACAGACAGACTGCAGTACAGACAGACGGTCAGCCATACAGACAGTCGTACAGACAGACGGTCGGCCATACAGACAGTCGTCCAGACACACAGCAATAGAGACAGACGGTCAGCAATACAAACAGTCGTACAGACCCACAGCAGTACAGACAGACAGTCAGCCATACAGACAGTCGTACAGACAGACAGTCAGCCATACAGACAGTCGTACAGACAGACAGCAGTACAGACAGACGGTCAGCAATACAAACAGTCGTACAGACAGACAGCAGTACAGACAGACGGTCAGCCATACAGACCCTCGTACAGACAGACAGCAATAGAGACAGACACACAGCCATACAGACAGTCGTACAGACAGACAGCAATGGAGACAGACGGTCAGCCATACAGACAGTCGTACAGACACACAGCAATAGAGACAGACACACAGCCATACAGACAGTCGTTACAGACAGACATCAGTACAGACAGCGGTCAGCCATACAGACAGTCGTACAGACAGACAGCAGTACAGACAGACAGTCAGCCATACAGACAGTCGTACAGACATACAGCAGTACAGACAGACGGTCAGCCGTACAGACAGTCGTACAGACAGACAGCAATAGAGACAGACGGTCAGCCATACAGACAGTCGTACAGACACACAGCAATAGAGACAGACGGTCAGCCATACAGATAGTCGTTACAGACAGACAGCAGTACAGACAGACACACAGCCATACAGACAGTCGTACAGACAGATAGCAATAGAGACAGACACACAGCCATACAGACAGTCGTACAGACAGACAGCAGTACAGACAGACGGTCAGCCATACAGACGTCGTACAGACAGACAGCAGTACAGACAGACAGTCAGCCATGAAGACAGTCGTACAGACAGACAGAAACAGACGGTCATTTATATATACAGACCGCCAAATACGCAGTCATGCAGACTGACGCTATATTCACTTTATGTGCACAATATATCGTGACATACGAGCGACGAGACACAGGCACTTGCGCGCCGCACTAGGTTCCAAGTCCCTTGTGTATCTAGTATGTATGTGTGTTGAACTTCTTTCGCAACGTACGTAGCCAACCGTGGCTAATCGGAGGCGCGGGTACATATCGAGATCACGTGTTAATGTTTTCGTATTATTATTATTGTTGTTGTTGGTCAAACAGAGGGCAAGTCTCAGTTGGAGGAGTCGGGACCATCCTGGGGGTCACACAGAGAGTGAGAGAGAGATGGGGAGTGGGGGGGTGTCGAGGTTGCAGGGAGCAATGAACATCAGCTCGTGTTCACGGGCTGGGTCGTGCCTTGGCGAGGCATATCATCCAGCAGTGGATCGACCGTGGCTTACAATGAACGACGATGTCGATGTTGAATGCTGAGTGAGATATTTTTATTTGCGGCATTCACGGGGCAGGGAGGGCGAGAACGTCGCTAGCTGAGACTTAGACTCGGTAATGTGGTGTCCTCTGCCGAGTGTCTGCGCTGCGTAATTGTACCGAGTTGGTCTGTGAATGTGCGAATGCGTTAATATTGATATTAAACCACAGTGCAGAGTATATGCCAACAATAATCAATCTACACGCGGCGTATACGCTGTGTTGATCTATTCAAGATGCAGCATGTATTCATGCACGTACACACACACACAATAAAATATATCGTGTTCAACCGTACAGATTGTTGGGGAAATTCGTTTAAGCGAGCAGCCGTCAAGGAACGGCACGAACGGAGGGATGTGAGCATCACTACTCCCGGCCGCCTTTGTCTCTCCAGTACTGATCTTTTATACGCACTGCATGAGCTAACCTACAGGACGCGCAATATAGGTTCGCCACAGATGCTGCTGCAACTACGACACGGGATTGAACTTAGTTCGCTGGGTTCGTAGCGCAGCGCGCTAACCACTGCACCAACGACCTCACCACTCCCACACACACACAAACACACACACACTCTTTAAACTACAACTAAAGTGTCTCGCTCACCATCCCGGCTCACCGCTGGCTTTCCCCTCGCTCACACTCACCCACTAATACACCCTCCACCACCCCTCTCTCCCATCCTCATTCGGCATAGCCGTGGAAGAGCGATGCATGCCACGGACACGCGTGAGACAATAGACGGCCGAGTCGATGGGCACAGCACCGGGCGAAGCGCGGACAACGGGAGAAGTCGCGGAACCGCGCAGAACGCTCGAACCGGACCGCAAACTTGGCGAGTGGAGCGACATTCCGTCGGCATCGCCTCGAAGTCGCAACGCGCGCGGGTTCAACTCCGTGATCGGCGGCGCCTCGAACGCCTCCCCGCACGCCCGCCCGTACGCCCCGCCCGACTGCCCCCCCTCTCTCTCTCTCTCTTACCGTCTCGGCCCTTGGAGACACCGAAGTCGCTGTCCTCCCTCTCGCTGTCTCCGTCCAGCCCTAACTCCTTGCTGCTCGGCGGGCGGGGCAGCATTGGCAGCCGCGGGGCCAACCCTGCCGATAGGGACCCCGCCATCGCTTCTTCCCTCGCCGCAGCAGCAGCAGCAGCAGCGGCAGCAGTCGCTACAATCTCGTCCGTGGCCATGCCGCTCCGAGCGCGAAGCGAGCCGCTCTCGAGGACTTCGCGGTAAGTAATTCCGTCCTTGCGGTCCTTCACTTTGCCCTCGAATGACTTTGAGACGAAGGCCGTGAGCTCCTCCATGCTCGGGATCTTCGACGGCAGGGAAGCGGCGAGCTCGGACTGGGCAGAGCGATGACGGGGGAGGATGCTGCTGCTGCTGCTGATGATGATGATTGTGTGAATCACACCGACGAGAGCAAATATTGTCCGTACAACGAAGCCGTTCGTCTCGTAAAGATTTCTCTTTTTTTTGTTTGTTACAAAACTACAAAATAAAGTAAGACATTTTTTGTTACAAAAATAATGCTCATAAAATCAATAAATAAATTGCCCGCACTGAACTTGGCGGCTCTCTTTTTAATAAGTACAAATAATGATGATAATAATAAAAAACTGCGCTACGCGCGCCGCGAGTTGAAATTTCTTCGCGCCCTCGGCGCAGCAACGTGGAGTTTGCTCCGCAGCCTTCTCCCGGCAATTAACGCGGCGGCGGCGGCGGCAGGGGATGGATGAACGGCAGGGAGAGTCTGGCTTTTTTGTAGGTGATCTTTCAGAAAGGAGGAGGGGGTGGTGGTGGTTTCAGGCAATAGAGGAAATCTGTTACAAAATTTCGCGGGGGGGGGGGGGGGGTTGGGGGGGGGGAGAAGAGGTGGGGGGAGGAGGAGGAGGAGGAGGAGAGGTGCTAAGGGGAGGGGGGAGTAGCAGAAGCGGCAATAGCGGCAGCAGCAAAAGATGCTGCTCCAAAAAATGAGCCCGTTGCCCACAAGTCGCGGCTGCTTATATAGGGCGCCGAGACGAAGGGGCTCACGGCGCCCCGCGGGTTTGCCGACTCCGCGTGTCCGCGTGCGTGCGCGCGCGTGCGCGTGTCTGTCCGTGCGCGCCCGTACCGCAATTAGCGAGCAGCTAATCGCTGGCCGCGTTGTGCATTACACCCTTATCGCCGTGTCATCGGCGCGAAGGGGTGGCTTGGCGGGGTGTGTGGGTGGGTTGGGTGGGGACGGGCAGGAGGGAGGGATGGAGGGGGTTGGGATAGGAGTTTAGTGGGGGTTGGGGAAGGGAGTGGGTTGGTGAAGATGGGAGGGACGGCGGAAGCTGTTGTGGGGAGGAGGCTGCGTGAGAGAGAGATGGAGAGAGGGAAGGAGGGAGGGAATGAGGGAGAGAAGGCGGGAGGGATATGATGATGATGGAGGGAGAGGCAAGAGTGAGAATGGTGCCGGGTTGCCTGTGGATGGGGTCTGGGGTGTGTGGGATGGGCTAGTGGCTTCCTTGTGTGGGAGGAGGTGGGTTGATGGTGGTGGTGATGATGATGGGGGGGACGTCGTCGTGGGAGGGAGAGCGGAGGAAGGAGGAAGAGGGGGGGGGGGCACACACACACTCTCTCGCACAAGGCAGCTACCCATTGGCCGCTCCGGCAATCCATCGCCCCATTTGACAAGAGCTTCTAATTAATTCAATTACATTGTATCCCTGTCGAGGGAACGAGCTACGGAGCGCCACGCGGAGGAGGAGGAGGAGGAGCAGCAGCAGTAGCGATGATTCTCGAGATGGACAAGGGGCCTCGCGTCGGCGGGGGGACTCGTCGAGCGCGCAGCGCACGGGACTCCTGCGGGCCGGGTTCGATTCCGGGACAAGTCCCTGCTGCTCTGTTTGCGAAGCGGCCGGGCGCGCACGTGGGCGCGTGCGTGTGTGTCTGAGTGTGTGTGTGTCTCAGTGTGTGTGTGTCGGAGAGAGTGTGTGTGTCTCAGTGTGTGTGTGTCGGAGAGTGTGTGTGTGTGTGTCTCAGTGTGTGTGTGTCGGAGAGAGTGTGTGTGTCTCAGTGTGTGTGTGTCGGAGAGTGTGTGTGTGTGTGTCTCAGTGTGTGTGTGTCGGAGAGAGTGTGTGTGTCTCAGTGTGTGTGTGTCGGAGAGTGTGTGTGTGTGTGTCTCAGTGTGTGTGTGTGTCGGAGAGAGTGTGTGTGTGTCTCAGTGTGTCGGAGAGAGTGTGTGTGTGTGTGTGTCTCAGTGTGTGTGTGTGTCGGAGATAGTGTGTGTGTCTCAGTGTATGTGTGTCGGAGAGAGTGTGTGTGTGTGTGTCTCAGTGTGTGTGTGTCGGAGAGAGTGTGTGTGTGTGTGTCTCAGTGTGTGTGTGTTGGAGAGAGTGTGTGTGTGTCTCAGTGTATGTGTGTCGGAGAGAGTGTGTGTGTGTCAGTGTGTGTCGGAGAGAGTGTGTGTGTGTCTCAGTGTGTGTGTGTCGGAGAGAGTGTGTGTGCGTGTCAGTGTGTGTGTGTCGGAGAGAGTGTGTGTGTGTCTCAGTGTGTGTGTGTCGGAGAGAGTGTGTGTGTGTCGGAGAGAGAGTGTGTGTCTGAGTGTGTGTGTGTGTGTGTCGGAGAGAGTGTGTGTGTCTCAGTGTGTGTGTCTTTGTTTTTTGTGTCTGTGTGTGTGTCTGAGAGAGAGTGTGTGTGTGTGTGGGCGTGTCTTTGTTTTTTGTGTCTGAGAGTGTGTGTGTCTGAGAGTGTGTGTGTGTATGAGAGTGTGTGTGTGTCTAAGAGTGTGTGTGTGTCTGAGAGTGTGTGTGTCTAAGAGTGTGTGTGTGTATGAGAGTATGTGTGTCTGAGTGTGCGTGTCTTTGTTTTTGTGTCTGAGTGTGTGTGTGTCTAAGTGTGCGTGTCTTTGTTTTTGTGTCTGAGAGTGTGTGTGTCTGAGTGTGCGTGTCTTTGTTTTTGTGTCTGAGTGTGTGTGTCTGAGTGTGCGTGTCTTTGTTGTTGTGTCTGAGTGTGTGTGTCTGAGTGTGCGTGTCTTTGTTTTTGTGTCTGAGTGTGTGTGTCTGAGTGTGCGTGTCTTTGTTTTTGTGTCTGAGTGGGTGTGTGTGTCTGAGTGTGCGTGTCTTTGTTTTTGTGTCTGAGTGTGTGTGTCTGAGTGTGCGTGTCTTTGTTTTTGTGTCTGAGTGTGTGTGTGAGTGTGCGTGTCTTTGTTTTTGTGTCTGAGTGTGTGTGTCTGAGTGGGGAGCTGTAGTGTAGCGGTTAGCGCCCTTCGCTGCGAAACCGGCGACCCAAGTTCGATTCCTGCTCACGGCCAACATCGTTGACGATTATCTGAACTGATCCTGAGCTTATCCTAGGTCGACTCAGCCTCAAATGAGCACCTGGTGCGGTGTGTAAACATCGTCACTGGGGAGACAAAGGCGACCGGGCGTGGTGCTGTCCACCCACACAGCACTTGCTCCTACAGTCTGTTAAGGCTATACGGGTGATCTTTGTCTTTTGTGTCTGAGTGTTGGTGTGTGTATTTGTCTGTGTGCGTCTTTGTTTGGCGGGTGGCAGATGTTGTTGTTGTTGTTGAGTGTATGTATGCATATTTGTCGTTGTGTGTGTGGTATTGGCCTTCATAGGTGCTCGCGAATGGCACTTGTCCAACACCCACTGTTGGAGGCTAGACGCGGGGATTTTTTTATAATTCTGTGTGTTCGTGGGGAGCGGTGGTGCTGCTGTTAGCGCGCGCCGCGCTAAGAACCGGGAGAACTGAGTTCGATTCCCGCTCACGCAGAACGCCAGTGACGCTTGCTTCAACCGGTCCTGGGCCTCCCCCCCCCCCCTTCCCCCCCCCACACACTTTATTTAGACTCAGCCTCAAATGAGTAGCTGGTGCTGCGGGTAAACATCGCCACTGCATGGGAGACCAAAGCGGTCGGGCGTGGTGCTGTCCACCTAAACCCCCTCGTGTACCGTTCCGACCTTTTTGACACGCAGTCGGCTTTCGCGACCAATATCATCCATAAGAGAGGGGTTTTTTTTGGGGGGGGGGGGGGGTTAGATCGCGTAAATTTATGGGGTGAGATCGCGTAAAATTTCCGTGATCTCACCCCGTAGATCGCGTAAATGTACGCAGTTATATCGCGTACATTTCCGTAAATGTACGCGATCCGGCCTTCTCAACGCTCTCGCTAACAGCACTTGCCCCCAATAGTCTGTTAAGGCTACACGGGGGGTGTTTGTAATTGCGCGTATCTCCACGCGTCTGTGCCCACGCGTGCTTTTTGTTGTTGTCGTACGTGTGTGTGTGTGTTATCTTTTGTTTTTTAACACGCGCGTGCATCTTGTACACGTGTACGCGCGGACCAGTATATATAGTGTGTACGATGTGAAATGCGCGCGTGTGTGTGTGTGTGCGTGCGTGCGAGTGTCTGTACGCCGCGTCCGTGCAGTCGATATTTTCGCGCGTGTGTACACGCCACAACTAAATGACACATGCCATTGACACGGCTACACGCTACGCACCCATGTGCACTGCCATGCGTGTGCGGGCATTGGTGCGTCTACGCGTGCGAATGTGTGCATGCGTGCGCGCCTGTGTTTATGTATTTATTGCGTGTTTACGAGTTTCTCTGTGTACACTTGGATGCATGCACGTTAATAATTTTGGTCTTTGTAAATGTGTGTATGCATGTATACATGCATGTATATATGTATATATGCACATACGTGTGTATATATGTAAATATTTCGGATATTTTGTGTGTACAATTACAATGTGTACTTGTATATTAATATATATGTGTGTGTGTGTGTTTGTTTGCGAGTGTGTCTACAAAAGCTTAAACAGTCTGTTCAAGGCTATACGGGGGATCTTTATCTTTCGAATACGTGCGTATAGGGAATGAGCGGTGGTGCTCTGGTTAGCGCAGTGCCCTATCAACCCGGCCACTGAAGTTGAATTCCCGGTCACGGCTCCCAATCGGTGGCGAGTGATGTCTGAACCGGTTCTGGGCACGATCCTCTCCACCACAACCGCCTTCAACAATCCGCATTGACCAGCGTGGTGAAGTATGGTCAAACAGCCACTGTGATAGACACAGCGTGGGGAGGATTTTATCCAGGGGTGTTTTAGAAAGTGCTAAGCACTTATTGTCATGATGAACGTAATGTGCGGATTCTAAGACGCATTCAACCCCCTGTAATGTATTGGAAAGTTTGGGGACGCTTATGAATCGGCAGGTGTGGATGTGCGTGCGTGTGTGTGTCTCTGTGTGTGTGTGTGACCGATTCATAGGTGCTACTCGCTAACGGCACTTGCCCCAACAGTCTGATGAGGGCATACGGGGGATCTTTGTCTTGTGTGTGACCGTGGGGAGCGGTGGTGCAGCGATGAGCGCGCTGCGCTACGAACCCGGCGATTATCTGAACCGGTCATGGCCCTCCCTTAGGTTTACTCAGCCTCAAATGAGTACCTGGTGCGGTGTGTAAACATCGCCACTGGGGAGACAAAGGCGGCCGGGCGTGGTGCTGGCCAACCACCCCCTCGTGTAGCGCTCCAGCCTTCATAGGTGCTCGCTAACAGCCCTTGCCCCACCAGCCTATTAAAGGGTATATGGGAGGTCTTTGTCTTTGTGTGTGACCGGAGGTGCTCGCGGGGAGCGGTAGCGTAGTAGTTAACAACTGGTAATGGGCCTCCCTTAGGTTGACTCAGCACTCAAATGAGTGCCTGGTGAGGTGTGTAAATATTGCCACTAGGGAGACAAAGGCGGCCGGGCGTTGTGCTGGCCACCCACCCCCTCGCGTGCCGTGCCCCAACAGTACGTTAAAGGCTGTACCGGGGATCTCTACAACTTCATTGACACCCGGGCACAGGTTCTTCACGAAATTGAT